AATTGGTGGAAACCAGGGCAAGAATTAATTTTAAGAAAGAGTTTAAGAAATTCAGAAAAGCCAGACATTACATAGTTTACAAATAAAATTAACTAGGTAGATCCCAAATCCTGTGTTCCTACAGATCTCCCTATTGTTACAGAAATATTCTGGAAAAGAAGAAAAAAAAGCCAGTAAGAAAACAAAGGCCCTAAGAAAGCAGCCAGAACAATGAATTTGTGCCAGAAAATGAAGCAACAGCTTGTACCAGAAACTGTTCCTAAACACACAGTGATGTACTGGAAGGGCTGGCAATTACTGATGTAAGGTTTTTAAATCAGACAGTAGCCTAATCCAGGACTCATCTCAAAAAAGAATCAACAAAGGAAGACCACCAACGCCTTGCCAAACTTGCGTCTCACCTTGGCAGTTCATACTGTCACAACTCTATGGATTATTTCAGTTCCGGCAATTCTCTGCACTGTTGCTTGACATTTTCAAAACTAAACAGAGGAGCAACTCAAGCTCACCACCAACATAACTCTGTTCCAAGTTTATTGGTGGTAAAAAGGCAGCAAGATGTGAGGCAGATAAAAACCCTCTGTCACTGAAAACTTACAGTGGTGAGTATTTGTGGGTGATGTCACACGCTGGCACCAAAATACTCCCATTTAGAAAAAATTAACCTTTTAGAGCAAATGTGGTCTCACCTGAATATAACATGTCACCGTCTGCATCACAATGACTTAAGAGTGGTCCAAGATGATGCCCTATAAAATGCTCCTGCCCAGCTCCACAGTTCTTCCAGAAAAATTTGAGACCAGTCTTTTGGAAGAATACATCCTCTTGTCTGAAAAGCCTAGAACAGAGCTGATGCTGCCACTGACCTTAAACAACAACACCTATGAACTCACACAGTGACAAGTCATGGCCAGCATCAGCTGTCATCCTACACCACTTTATCCTTTTTCCTCCACAGTGGCAACAACAACTGTTTGTTTTCTCACTGCCCTGCCGGTGTCATCTTTCCTTACTTCCCTGAAATAACAGTAAAAACCTACCTGGCCTCCATATCCAGCTCACACTGTTGAAGCACAGCAGAACTGTGAGGGAACATACAATACCTCTCTTCAGGAAAAAAGGAGGAGGCAGACAAAAAGCTTTGTATGCAGGGAAAAGAGACCAGGGTGGCCTGGGAATCCAGAAAAGCGGCTTTGTGCAATTAGAGCTATGAAGAGAAAGCAGTCCATAGGGAAGAGGGAACAAAAGCTGCTTCCTGTCCCTCCAGCTGACTGACCTTCAGCTGAAGATTTCCTTTCTCCAGAAACAAAACTTCTGACCAAGAACCTTTAAAATCTGTTCTCACTACCACAACTAAACTGAAAAAAGACCAGTCTTTTCTTGAAACAATCACTCCCCTGTCACCATCACCGACACTTTGCCAGACACTGAACAATCAGAGTTCTGTGAGTGTAAGCAAGTCCTCCTCTATTCCATTTCTTTGGTCATAAAATCTACCCAGACTTGGTCTTCCACAAGGCTGTACATTTTTTAGCCATAATCCTTACTGCAACAAAGCACTTACCAGTAGGAAGCCCTTTTCCCCTCAGCCTCTCCCGAATAGCCTGGCTCCTGTCTGGCTGCAATTTTCTATCTCCATTGGAAGACAGTTGCTCCATCTGCAGAAGAAGGCAGTAACCAAAGTTAAATACTGAAAGAGCTCACATTAACATGAAACAAGCATTGTTTATGTAAATGAACAACACCAGGCAGTGTCAAACAGTTAAGTTCAAGTGCAGAATGGCAGTTCAAGCTTTTTAATAAAAAAAGGTTCAGAGTCAGAATATCCCCTAGAATTATCTATATTTGAATAGTTCATGCATTATTTTACTACATGTTTGGTCTACCTTTTTTCCACTAAGAATAAATTAAGTTCACTTAAATACATTCCACATCTACAGCAAACTGAAGGGACAGCAACACACAAAAACCATCTTCCATGACTGCAACAGGACTAGAACTTGTGATTGGCCTGAGGAGTTTTCTAACAGGAAGTAGTCTTGTACCTTCACACAATTTATTGTACACGTAAAATCCCTGTGGTGGTTTTAATCTAGGCCTTCCCTGGTTACCAGTTTGTAACCAAGGAAGGGGCAGTGTTCCCAGTATTCCATATGATTTTTACGTAAATTGTGGTATAAATAAGAAGGGAGGAACGGCCTTCGCTCTCTTCTCTTCTGCCGGAGTTCGGGAACAGTGAGTCCCTGCGTTGGTCTCGCTTATCTAAGGCTGAGGCCTGCAGCATCCACTGACCTGCCACATGGAGGCTTGGGGAGTGCTGGCCGTGTGTGTGTCAATCCTGTTTCTTTCTAAGAGACGTGGTGAGATTTGTTTTACTAGTTATTTTACTAGTTCTCGGGTTTGATTGCGCATATCTATTCGGTGTCCCTTTTTGTTTCCTCTTGTCCCTCTTTCCCCTTTCCCTATCCCTTCGGGGGGTGTTTGAATTCCCGTTTGCTGTGTACATAGCATCTTAACTGTAATATACATAAAATATATTTTTAATATAACTAGCTTGATTTTCGGGTTCTTCAATTTGCATAGTTTTTTTTCCTTTGCCCTGGGGGAAGTAGAAAGGGGGGAAGAGAGGGGCTGCTACTGGGGGGTTGGGCATTTGGCAGGGAGCCAAGTCCGAACCATCACAATCCCATGCACACATTTGTGAGAAATCTCTTTAACCCCTCAGGCCTATTCCTTTCCTTTCAGGCTTAACTACTCCTTACTTTTTTTTTTTTTTTTTCCAAATCACTACTTCCCTAAGAAAAGCTATTTCACATGTACAGTCATTGAAAAAAGGGCTTATTTGCAACAACAAAAAGTCCTTAGTGAGATCTTTCAATATGGTAGGAGCACAACTTGGGACAGCAGCTTAGCTGGGAGGAGGGAAGAAGGACTCGAGCAGACTTCTATCCATTACAATTACAATGCAACTCAATTAACAATAAATAGACTGAATCAGCCTTGTGCTAGATTGCCCTTTACAAAGCATATTAACATGGAAAATGAAAACATTCAAATGGGAACTCTCAGCTGATACTTCACCAAATGACCAGTCACAGAGCCAAGACCTCTCAAGCCTTTGATAAGGCCAATCAAGATTAGAGACATACTAATCTTCAAATAGGAAGTGCTTCTGAAAAAACAAATGTACATGTTTTCCTTGTTAACTTAAAAAGTTCCAGCACACATACAGAGCACCAAACATTAAAACCACCAGCTAAGGTGCACAAAAACACGGCAGCACAGCTATGTTGTCATTGTTCTGTCAACTCTGTTCTATTCAGCTCTTTTTTTTTTGCCTTCTTGCAAAGCCAACAAGTGACATGTTATGAATTAAAAAGGTTACTGGCAGAGGAAGTTAGCAAAGCTTCAGCACTTTCAGCCCAGCTCCTTCATTATCCACATGGTATAGGGAGACAGGAACACACTTGCTGGATTCAGGTCCTCACTAGATTTCAGCACAAGCATTTGGGACCACTACAGCTGTCTCTGGCAGGCCAGTCTAGATTAGTCTGTCACACTAACCCCAGGTTCCCACTGAAAGCCTGCTGACAAGAACAAGGGGAGGAAAAGTAGAAAATTTGCAAAGCAGAAAGGGCCACAAAGAACCTGGAGAATAATGACTCACTTTCCAAAGTGGCTGTTTCTATAGCTTCTGGTCTGATTTAAGGATCTTTATTTTAACAGTGTCACTGATTAAGGTCCTTTAGCCCTTTATTTTACTCAATCACAGACCAGCTCCACTTGGCAACTACACAAGACTTCAGACATCACAGCGAGGAGCACTGGACTGACAGACATAACCTCTGGGACTAGGGAATGCTTTGTGGAGCTCAGGCTCAGCAATATTTCTGGAGACCTGGCTTAATCAGCTGCTGCCAAGTATTAGACAAATGCAGGGATCCCTCATGTTCTGCAAGCATTTCCAAACCACATTTATGAAGAAACTATTGAACAATCAGATCATAATTTTTTTTAAAAAAAGAAGCATCAGCAAATCAAAGTTTTTCATGTGATTTCAGTGCTGTCTCTCTAGACATCAATTTTTACATTGGCATAACCCCAGCAAGATAAAAAATTGGATGATATAAAGCCAGATAACACTCAGGACCATCATAGGATATCACTTCAGCAATAATAAACTGCTCAGCGTTTGTTTTAATTATAAACAGAATGCAAGGAAAGCAAGTAATCGTCGGAGAATAATCTGACAATACTGACAATTTATTGTGCCCATCTTTAAAAAGGGTAGAAAGGAGGATCCTGAGAACTACTGACCTGTTAGCCTCACCTCTGTGCTTGGGAAGATCATGGAACAGATCCTCCTAGGAGTTATGCTAAGACACATGGAGGTGATTTGTGACAGCCATCATGGCTTCACCAAGGGCAAGTCCTGCCAAGTCCTTGGCAACTCAATGGCCTTCTATGATGGGGTGACTGTATCAGTGGACAAGGGAAGGGCTACAGATGTCATTTACCCAGAATTCGATAAAGCCTTTGAGTTGGTCTCCCACAACATCCTTTTCTCCAAATTGGAGGGAGGTAGATTAGATGGATGGGCTGTTAGAAAGTGGTTGGACGGTCACATCCAGAGGGTCACTGCCTCAGCGTCACAATGGGCATCAGTGACAAGTGGTGTCCCTCACCTGTATTGGCTCTGTATTGGGACCAGTGTTATTTAATAGCATAATTAATGACAAAGATAAAGGAATCAAGTGCACTCTCAGCAAATTTGCAGATGACACCAAGCTGAGTGGAGCAGTTGCCACACCTGAAGGACAGGATGTCATCCGGAGGGATCTGGACAAGCTCGAGAAGTGGGTCCATGGGAATCTCAGGAGGTTTAACAAGGCCAAGTGCAAGGTGCTGCACCTTGGTTGGGGCAACCCCAGTATCATTCCAGGCTGGGAGATGAACAGATTAAGAGCAGCACTCCTGAGGGAAGTTGGGGGTGCTGGTGAGTGGGAAACTGGACATGATCGAGCAGTGTGTGCTCACAGCCCAGAAAGCCATTTGTGTCCTGGACTGCATCCAAAGCAGTGTGGCCAGCAGGACGAGGGAGAGGATTCTGCCCCTCTACTCCACTCTGGTGAGTCCCCACCTGGAATGCTGCATCCAGCTCTGGGGTCCCCAGCACAGGAAGGACAGGGATCTGTTTGAGCAAGTCCAGAGGAGGGACATGAAGTTGATTAGAGGGATGGGGTGCCTCTCATATGAGGAAAGGTAGAGAGAATTTGATTTGTTCAGCCTGAAGAAGAGAAAAGCTTAGGGCTGACCTAATTGTGGCCTTCCTGAAGGGAGCCTACAAGAAAGATAGAGAGAAGCTTTTTACAACGGGTAGTGACAGGACAAGGGGGAATGGCTTCAAACTGAAAGCAAGTAGTTTTAGATCAGATATGAGGAAGAAATTCTTTACTGAGAGGATGGTGAGGCACTGGAACAGGTTGCCCAGGAAAACTGTGGATGCCCTACCCCTGAAAGTGTTCAAGGCCAGGCTGGATGGAGCTCTAAGCACCTGGTATAGTGCAAGGTGTCCCTGACCATGGCAGGGAGGCTGGAACTGGATAATCTTTAAGGTTCCTTCCAACCCAAAACATTTTTTGATTCTATGACAACTCGTGGTCTTCCTTTACAACCTGAAATAATTAAACTATTCTGAAGTTATGCTGTAATGATTTAGGTGAAGACAGAAGCTGCCTTTCAGAAATAGTAACTTTGCAAGATGAGTTCATGTAGCTTCTAGAAACAGTTTGACAGATTGGTCATCATTAGACAATAAAATCCTCCACAATTCTCATAGCCAAGAGTAGAAGTGCAAGAGAACTGGCACACTGCCTAAAGAGTGCCTTCTTTCTGTTAATAAGCAACTCTCCAAAAGGCAAACATAACCTAAGATAAAGAAAACTCACAGCAATCATTTTTGAAGCACTTCAAGTAGCAACAAGTCTTAGGCTTGCTCTAGAGCTCATCATCTTGCTCTGTGTCTCTTTCTTTTTTATGAAGACACAGTTCACAAAATTACTTTCCTCAGAAACTCGTGAATGCATGTTCCAGGAGGAATTGTCAAGTGCACAAACCTGTAATATGGGGAGAGAAGCAGTTCTTTTGACCCTTCTCAAAATTGCAACATATCAAAACAAGACAAAGAATGACTGCAGAGTGACTGTGAATTAGCACTTTTGCTCTCTTCCTGCTCATCTCTATTATTTCTCAAACACTGACACAGACTTACCCCAGAGAGGCTTCCCAGAACCAGTCTGACCAACTGTTTCACGTATGAAAAAGAAGGGGCACAGTTACTATTCCTTATGTGGGCACTGCAGGCATCCAGAACAGTCCGTACAGATACACGGGCATAAATGACATCTTCACACATGCCGAGGAGGATGCTATTGAGATGGTCTCCGAGTTTGATAGGCTAGTGACATACAAGAACAGGAGAAATCAGTGTTACCAGTGCTTTGTGGAATATTCAGAAACCAAAGACATTCAACAATGTAAAGTAACTATTTGTGAGACTTATTGCCTATGTTATCTGAGTGCCAATTTGAAAGTCCCCATCTAGGTGGTGAAAAAGTAGTGGCTGTAGAACAGGACACAGGTATTCAGCATCTAGATTCAATTTGCGCTCTGCAAAATTCTGGCCCAAACAAGCTGCCTGATCTGTAAGGTCAGGACACCAATGCTTTCCTTTCTCAAATGCTTAATGAATAACTGAAAACAAAATAAAAGTGAAAAGATTCAGAGCAAGTTTTCTCCCTTGATTTTGAACATTCTGCCAGTCACAAGTATAAAATTCAATTCTCACTACAATCATTTTGTCCAACCCTCTCTGCTCATTTTGTGTAGTTCCTCACCTCACCTATATTTTGCAGTAGATGTGATAGCACTTCCAAATTCCAACAGAAAAGTAAGGAATAAAGTAACAAAGCCACTGGTTAAGGAAGCAGAGCTTCACAACTGTAGGACAACACCCATACAGTTAAAAAAAAAGTAAATCTAGATTTATTTCTATTCTACTCATTCAGTTAATGCAGCACACTGAAGGTGGAATATCCCTCCTCAGGGTATGCAGCAGTCAGCGATAACACTTCTTCTCAGCTGCCGCAGGCACTTGGGACTTGAGGTTTCTGATCTGCAGCTCTCCCAAAGTGGGTGGTTACCCACAAAGTACAAGCATTGTCATGCTTTTTGCATCACAGAGCGCTTCAAATAATTACAGTCTTCCAATCTTCCCTGCATGAGTACTCAAGGTGTATTATTAAAAAAAAAAATGCTCTGGACCACCCTGATTTAATTAACATAGGCTTTTCCCATCTATCACTTCTAACTAATCATAAAAAATCACTCCCGTATTCAACCACACTCCCAGCAGAGAAGCAGCTCATTAACTAACACAGGTAGACAAATATAGAAAGCGTACATAAAAAGCGAAAACCTGCACATGCAAATCCACATTTAAAAGTAATGACATACACAAGACTGTCCTTTTGCCTTCACTAACTCCACGGGGCAGAGACAGCACATGAGAGTATCCCAAAGGTATACTCTTTTGAGGCATACCTCACCACACCATCTTTGGGAAAATACTGTTTTATTAACAGGTAGAGTGTGCCTTCCCACTGCATTACTGAGAAACTGTTACTACACTCTAATACCAAAGGAAGAAACAAAATAGGGAATAAAATTAACACCTACTTTCTGCTCAACATCTCTACCTACCTTAAGTCCCTCTCTCATTACTGGTGAATACTGTTCCTTCATCTTCTACAAGACAGGGGTATTGCTGTCCAAGAAATTACTGGGGTTTTTGGGACAGGCACAGTAAGCATTATGAATAGGTACCTCTAAACAGTTAGAGCTTCAAATTGTTTTATTTTCACATTCAGGCAGCTACTTCCAAATAAGTACAACCGAGAACCCAATTACCACTCTGTTAAAGAAAATATTAGGAACTAGATCCTTAAATTGCAGAAGAGCCTTTCCAAACTTCCTTCCTTACCTTTACACATCATACCAACCTGTAGGATCAAACCCAAATACGAATGACAAATTGCTTCTCTCATTGAGCTACATGATCCTACAGTTTAAAGTCCATTATTAAGTGCTTTTTCCAATGTATTTCATCTTCTTTTCATTCTTTTAGACATTTACTTCGAAAAGTTTAATTGGGGGCAGGGAAGTAGCACCCAGGAAGATGATGAATCACATTATCTACAGTCAGTTGTGGAAAGACAGTCTAGGAGTTTTGCTGGGTGTGTAAAATAACCCCACTGAGCAATAACACCCAGCTCTAAGCAGCCTGCAACTGTCTGCATTGACTGACAGGTCAATAGCAAGAGTCTACTCCCTGTTGCAAACAATTCATACCCTTTCTTGGCCATTGTGAAAACTAGTATCTGTATGTGCTAAGTCCAGACTCACAGAACTTATGGTAGCATAGAGAACAAGTGCTTTATTATGTGTAAAACAATGTTATTTCAATATTTGTTTTTATATAAGCCTAAACCAAAGCAAATTATTTTCTCCTTTGTCAGCAGCCTCAACTGTTCTTCCAGCCTGTGGCACTACAGGATAGACTAGCTCAGACATATCTTCATGGAAACTAAGAAAAATGTACTATCAGCATCTTCTTCCTGCAAGACACCACCATCATCACCCTCACACACTTCACAGGAAAAAGCTCCAAGTACAGAAAAGAAAACCTCTTTACAGTGCAGGTGACCACACACTGGAACAGACTGCCAGAGAGGCTGTGGAGTCTCCCTGACTGGAGATATTCAAGAAATGTCTGGACACAATCCTGTGTCATGTGCTCTGGGATGACCCTGCTCGAGCAGGGAGTTTGGACCAGATGACTCACTGTGGTCCCCTGCAACCCTAACCATTCTGTGAAATTCTCTTCACTGTCTCATTATGAGATGCTATGTTAACTCCAGAGCCGTGTTAACTCCAATGCAAAGTCAGTCAAACTATCAAGTCTGAAGTTGCAATATTAAATAAAACCAAATCTAAACTTACCTGACTTTGAGGAACTTCGTGATCAGCTCCCCAGAAGAGCGCCATACCAAGAGAATAAATATGCACCTGTTACAAGACACAAGACATTCGTCAACTCATTGAACAGGACTGGAAACGCAAAGCGCAACTTTAAAGGAGAGCAACTAACTTAACATCATTTTGCCTGTAAATATAATTCTGGTACTGTAAGCTCAGTTGTCTTTCAAGTCCTTCTCCTTTACCATGAGGATCGGAGAAGAAAACTCTACTGCTGCAGAACATACTGCATCTAAACAGTGCCTCTGTCTTCTCTTTTTAATTTCAAGCTTTCACCTCACATTGAAGCCACAAACTCATGTAATCCATGCAAATCAGCCTAGTGTGAGGGAAAGACTATATGGCTGTGTCCAAGGATCCTCAAAACTTTACTCTGAAAGCAAGGTAGACCTTAGCACGACTCAAACAGAGGGCTACTATCATCGGGAGATCCCAAAGATTGGGATCAAAGGAAAAAAAGGAATGAACATAAGAATATAAATATATAAAGAAGTAACTATTATTGATATTTTAAAATCAGTATAGGAAATAAAACCTTTAAATATTGCAGAATTAAGAGCACAAGCATAGGCTGTCCCTGTAGGTGACTGCCAAAACAAAACAGGTAAGTGTAGGAAAAAAAAGCAGTTTTTCTGGACTGTATAAGTAACATACACTAGTGATGGTTCTTTCTACCAAGCTATTAATAATATTTATGCTACTTACACCAAAAAGTTTATTAAATAATTCTGAAGGCAATGAACAACAATTACAGGAACAGTGATAAATTAAATGTTCACTTAAGTCATGAACTAAAAGCAAAACATTTTAAGTTCTAGACACATAAATTTACAAGATCTATGCTGACTCAGATCCTTCATATACAGATTTTAAAAACGTAGGTGCAAAATGAGTGTACAAAAGGTAATGAATGGACCCAAGAGAACCTAGAAATTATAAAAATTTTCTTCTTCCCATACTAAATTTGTAGAGTTGTTAAAAATCACACATGTAGAACTAGCTTAGGGTCATACAAGTGAATTCTCTGTACTGAGGAGGCTCTTAGCCTATTCAAGACAACAAAATATATTCTTAAAACTCAGAAAAAGAATAACACAAATATTTTTCTTTTTAGACTAGATTGCTTGAAAGTCATCATACTGTTACTACAGCCTGTGGGGAATTAATCCCAAATACAAATATGTATTTTTAGATTTCCATCATGAACCCAGAAAAAAGTTTCCTTTTTATGTATTCAAAAGAGCAACACATAGCTCCATGGCAGGATAAAGAAGCAATTACTATATATACTTAGAAACCAAACGTTATTAAAATTATTCTTGTAAATTCAACGTGCTTTATTCATATAAAACAGAAATTCAACACACTCAGAGAAGCACTCCCATACTGCATTTCTGCCTCTAAAATCTTGTGAGATGGTGTCTGTCTAGCACTGTGTATGAGTAAGCACAAGGACAGAAAGGTTTCTATCAGTCTAAGGCAGTGATACACCAGATACTGCTGACACATCATTCCTTACTGCTGTGATTCAGTCCCACTGGCTGACACTGAAGATGGAGCAATGAGGCCACACAGATTTGCAAGAAGGATACTCAAGTAGAGAAACAATGCTTTTCTCTGTGATAAAGCCAGAGCAAACCCGCGGAGAATTTCTCCGAGACTGTGCTCAATTTCCCCTCAAGAAGGGAAAATAAGGAGGCAAATTTTGTTTGCAGGATTGCAGCAATACACACAGTTGTAGATGCAATGGACACAGCAAAGTACACAGGTGAAGGTGACACACTGCTTTATCCTAGACACAAATATATAGCCAGCACTGTGTACCTAACACAGGCTCACCCACCAGCCTCCTCTCCCAGAGGCCAACAGTGTAAGGTCACTCTGCTATACGCGAAGAACAGATTAGGTCAATATTCAGAGACGTGTCAAAGGGTTCTCAGTTAATATCACTGCCCATTCAACCAGAAATATTATCTTAAAATACTGAGAAAATTGTTCTGTATCTGCTTTATTAGCCATTACCCTTTCAACGGAAATACTAGAAAGTCTTCCTTACATGTCCAGATAAACTGGATATAAACTCCCCAACTCCTGTCCTCCAACAGTGCAAAAGCAGCAATTCAAATGTCTATAATAAAAATTTTTAATTCTAATTAGAGACATCATCATGGTCCCAAGTCTGTCAGTGTTCAAGAAGCATTTGAACAACATTCAGATACACTATTTTACTTTTAGGTTGCCCTCTTTAGAATCTAGAGCTGGACTTGACAATCCTCACAGGTGCCTTTCAAGTCAGGGTATTCTATCACTCCATGATTCTGAGCTTCAGCATAATAAAAGATATTTCCAAAACCAAGAAGTGAAGTCAGACCCCTAAAAGAAAACATAAACTAAACCTAAACTACTAATCTACCTAAAAACAGCTTTCAAAATAAAAGCATTTAGTTCATTTTTTTACTATGATACTTTTAATATTTTCCAAAATAAACCAACATCAATTTCATTTCCCAAATTAATTTTCCATTATAATTTAAGAGTAGCTTGCTTACTCTGTTTCCAATAAGCTTGCAGTTACCTCAGATTTGTTTTGGATTCAAATTGACTGTGTGTTTTGGAATCAAAAGGGTGTTAATTTCCTATCTTTTTTTTCTAATATTTATCGTTGAATACACTGTTAATATTTCTTAGCAAGCACAGTCATAACTCTAAACACAAATGCAACTCTGTCACTCTCTGTTAAAAGGCTGTGAAAACAAGACATTTTTCTGCCTTCAGCAGTTTTTAGAAGAATAATCAAAAAGGAAAACACCAAAGATTTCTAGTAAACTAATTCAGTGAACTACAGCCAGTTGTTACAGAACAAAGAAAAAAAGGTTTAAATATGTTAAAAGTTACCACAATCAGCAAAACAAGATCTAAGAAACATGAAGTCAACACATTTCTTGCAGTAACCAGTGTGTGCCACCCAATACCCAGTCTAATATGAATGCAAAAGGAAGCAGTCAAAAAAGGAGGGATGCACATATAAGTTATTTATCAGCCCTACTAACTTCAACTAACAAAGCCATAAAAGGACAAAAGGTTGTTGTGGTTTTGCTTTGGGTCAATTTTGCTTTCCACTCTCTACACAATTATTACTAGTTGAGAGAAGGTATTTGCAGACAAAAGAGAGACAGGATTTGGGGAAAACAGTATAAACATTTATTACTAGTAAAATAAAAACTACTAATAAATTAAAAACTAAAGAACTATATTTATAGCAATTTCTACTTAAGTTGAAGTGTTATATATTTACAGAAATACTTCTTCCCTTTTATACTAGTCCAAGGAGAAGAAGTAGTCTCATTCTGTATTTTCAGAGTTTCAGCTTTCTCCTTCTAGTAGCAGATCCTCAGCAGCAGCACACTTTCATTGCAGTTGGAACTTCTCTCTCCTTCTCGTTCTGTGTTGGCTTCCAGGGCTGGGTTTACCCCCCTCCTGGGCTAAGACTGAAGGCTGGAGATTACTCAGGTCCTGAAGGGTTTTTTTCTTCCATAGGCTTGCAAGGGGACACTTGCTTACTATGAATCTTCTTCCACAGGGTTACAGGGGATAATGGTTTAAGAGTTCACCCCTGTTTCCCTATGGAGGTCCCTCCCCATGGGAGAATAGTCTTTGATAGACTTCTCGGCATGGGTCTGGCACGAATCCACACACACACGGATTCCAATATCTCACATGGGCCGTCTCGCTCCAGCATGAGATTTCTCAGAGTCATAAAAACTTTAACAGCAGTATAGATCCACACACGCACGGATCTCGGTATCTCACCTGAGTCATCACTGCTTCAGCACAAGTTTCCCTCAGGGTTGCAAATCTCCACCAGGACTCTGCCTCACTTCAGTCCTTTTCATGAAGCCTTGGTTCTCTTTGGTACATCCACAGACTTCTTTATCAGTTGTATGGGAGGTCTCCTTATTCTAATAAACTTTTACAGGTGGCAGGGATTTATTTTCAGTCTTTTCCCTGCTAAGGAGAAAGAGCAAAAAGGCAGGAGGGAAACAAGCCTCCCCCCTTTCGCACTTTATTTTTCTTTACTGCAGCTTCGGCTGCCAGCTCCGACCTTGGAAGCTCCGTTATCTTTCGGCTGGAATTCTTCTACAGCGGTTTCTGTCTAAGCAGTCCATCTTTTAAACTTTTTTTTTTCTCTTCACTCTCTTACAAGAGAGAAGGGAGGACTTCAGTACTGCACCTGCTCCCCCCCCGGCCCAAGCCGGGGAAGGAGGGAGTCTGGCCCTGCTTCGGGCCCGGTACTCCTCTCCCCTACATGGCTGCTACTCTAATTCCAACTGCGCCAACCACCTTTTCTTCCGTTTTCTTGAAGATGTAATTAGCAAAGGCGTTTCTGGACTTTTGATTAGTCTTTTTGTCCGAAAATTACCTGGACAAAACCATCATCAGCCCCAGAGATGGGCTGAGGGGGCAAAACCACAACAAGGTTTTGTACAAAGTTATGTTTTAGGGAGGTTTCTTCTTCCAAATAAGCAAGCAAGCAAATCACCTTGCATCCAGCAAGGAGGGTTATACTGATACCAGGAAAGAAATTCACAGCACCATAATCAGAGAGGATTAATTAGCATTGCATATGCACAGAATGCCAGTATTAGGTCATTGCCAACTGATACGCTCTGTGTTGGAACTTATAGGCCGCAGAGGTCCCTCTGTGTAATTTCTTTCCTAAAGATCAAGAAACATCACAGCATGGCTTTTATAGTAACAGCCCTCTATTTATTTCAGAAAGAAAGAAGTAGCATACTAAACACTAGCACAGAACAAAGAATGCAGTCAGCTCTGAAGAAGGTCACAAATTTGTCACTTCAAAAACTTTTCTGCACTTTTAAAGGCCTGTTTAGTACATTAACTTCAGAGTTGGAACTAGAGGTAACATTACTATCTTCAAAAGTGTTATCCCTCTTGAAAGAAGGCAAACAATTCCAAATGTATGACCAAAGAACTTGGCAGCTGCATGCTACACAACAGAACTCAAATTTGCATTGATGTCAGTGTAATTTTTACTTCTCTATTAAACCTTTTAACCTAGGTTGCCAATTGTTTATAATTTTCTCATAGTAAAATTATAAGCATATTTTATGATACCATTAATTTTGACAATATGCAGAGCAAGAGGGATGTCTAAAGGGCTTGAGAGTAACTGAGGAAACTGACTTTCAGTAGGTATTTGGTAAAACAGTCCTAATGAAAAATGACTATATACCAGGTTAGAAGAAAAAAGCTGCAAACACAAAATATTCAACACAGAAAAACATGTTTTAACAGTCCTTATGCACACAACTGCTATCAGTGCCAATACCACTTTCCTCTGGAGTAAGAACATGTTGCTGTTCTTCCTGGAGGAAGACTGCCAAATGTCATAATTGTTCCCAGATTACAAAACTGGCTGTGGTTAGCTTCCCTCTCCAAGGATTATTGATCCAGAGAAGTCAAGGAGATAAAAATAAAGTTCCACTTCCTTTTTACTTCCACCTCTAAATATCTTTGACCAAGCCAAAGGAATGGTTTTCCAGAGAAAGTATTACCATTTGCAACAAATTCTTGCTAATAAACATCTGAGAAGCCAGTTCATTTTGACTGTGCCTATCAACGACCTGGAGGAGATCACATATACAAACCTTACACGTCTCAACATCTCTTGGGGAAGAGTTACAAAATAAAGGTGGAAAGGAGCAATTTCACAAGTAACTGAGGAATACTTATGCTAATTAAAACAAATGTTTCCTTTTGAGATGAGTGTAAGAATATCCATTTTATCAAAGCCCTGGACTGCTTGAGTAACTCTTTTGCTTACCTCTCAGATGCATTTTTGCAAAAAAACTCTGAAAATTACAATTGGTGATGTCCCTGAAATGTTTTACAAAAAGAAGGCAAAGCATTGTTTAAGACTAGTTTTAAAGTCAGTTATTCTGTGCAGCCATTGCTCAAGCAGGGCTCTCAGTAGCATATATGTTACCAGGACCTGTAGAGACTCTTCTTCATAACTGCGCACAACCATAATCACTATTCCAGTTTTATGAACAAAAACTAAGCAGGAGGATCCCTCCCCCCTCACTAAAGAAATCACACGTACAAATCACTAACAACAGGGACAAAAAAGGACAACTTAAAGCTACTATGTGAAGGGATCAACAGCAAAAGAAAACAGTTGTCTACCAAGGAAGAGGTACTGTACCTTCTCAACATCTGACAGAGATGACAGCGAATGGTTCTGCAGAACCTCCGGTGCTGTGAATGCTCGCAGATCTTGTTGGGAGACATTTTCATCAGTAAATGATACACTGCCAGATGGAAGCAGCAGGAGAGACCATGGAGAAATGATGAATCCCAGAGTAGTAGGATCAGCTGTAATTGAAAAGAAAAAAAAAAATGTTGTTTGATGCTCTTGCTTGATTTTATTTTACTATCAGCCTACATATTATTAGTACACATTTTCTTTTCCACCTGCGGTGTTTCACAACCACAACCACCACCTCAATTTTAATCACACTGAGGAGTAACACCTATCTTTTTTGACTATACTTTGCTATTGCTCATACCAACAAGCTCACAAAGAGCCCGCTAAAATACTCACAAGCTCTCCTGTCCTCAAGTTATTTCACCTATGTTACAGCTGACATATAAATTGCTCATTCTTTGTAGAGCAGATGTCATTAAAGCTAATTCCTACCATAGCAGTGGGTTTTATTCTTATACTAACATAGCACTACTGCAGCAGCAATGGTTTGAAGAGAGAAGACAAGATAAGTAGAGAGACGAAATGCTCCTCATTACAGTGACAAAACAGAAATGTTTTTGGGTACAGAAACCCTTTTTAATCTGAAGTGAAAAAAAAATTTACAAATGTGAAAAAGGAAAGAATAATTCTAGGAGCAGTAGAAGTGGGCAAAGAAAACCTGAAACCTTGGTAAGATTGCCCATTCAAAACCTGTGAATACATACTTGAAAACAGCAAAACAAGCACTGAAATAGCAGAACCAAAAGTGACCAGTAAAACTTCCTACACTGAATATGCAATTTGCCAGCTAGGTTTTTGATGTAAGATAATACTGCTGTGAAGCTTCTGGCCACAGACTTACCCCCCAAAAAATAGGAAGGGGCTAGGGGCCAGGCTGCACACACAGGGGAAGGTATTAAACCCACAAATGTACCTTGAATTAAGGCAGGAAAAGGAGAGAACATTTCCTTGAGTCAAAATATTTTTTTCTACACCTCAAACATGAATCAGCTCAGTTTCACTGAAGGAGGCAAAGTTAACTTTTATTTTTCCATCGGCAAAGAGGCAATCGCTCTCTCTTCTGCTACATGATATATAAAAGATATGAGAAAACATACATTGGAGTCCTTCTTTTCTTTCTACATAGTAAGCAACAACAGCAGAACAATAATATCCTCCTTCAGCTCCACCGTTAACAACATTTTCCACTCTCCAATCAGCTCAGGATGTTCCTACAGTGCTGGTTCCTAGACTGCTCAATTATCTTGTAATCTAGAATATTTCTAATCTCCTAGGAAATGTATTAAATTACGCCTTGCAGGTATCAAATGTAAAAGGATCTACCAGGTAAGTCCTTCAATTTTCTACCCCACTTCCTCTGAAACAAAATAGAACTGCTGTTCACTGTTGTGGCAGTAAGTTCTGATGCTAAACAAAAGAAATGCAAAGGTGAACAGACCTATCCTATTATATGTATATAAGAAAAGCAAAGCTACAAAACATTTTTAGGAAGACAACCTTAGCTAGCCATCAACTTTCAAAATTAACCCTGTATGTATATACCACTGATTAAAAAAAAAAAAAAATCCAAACAAGCAACATCTTTAAATATGGTAAGTTTTCTTCTTTTAAGTCCCAACTCAGGAACCTTAAGTTCAATTAACCTTAATTGAACATTTTGTAAGACAAATACTTTAAATACATAAAAACTCTTCATATTCTGAAAAAAAGAGTTAATGAGATAAAAACTTGATTTAGTTTTAAGAACAATTTTAAAAATCCCCACATTTAGTCTGAAGTCTTCCCAATACTAATTTCAACAAACTCTGGAGCATGCATCTGTTCCCCACAGATACAGAGTTTAAATGTATTGATTCACCCCCACTCAACAATCTTCATGACCTGAAGTAATGTAAAAGGAATGTGATTAATTACAAGTTTAGAAAAAGAGCTGACTTTACCAAACTTGTTTCGTCGACTTTTTCTTAAATTCCTTATTATTAACTTATAATTAATATAGCAGATCATACTATCAAACTTTGGAAATCTATTCTACTGTTCCAAAGGATGAGAATATAATAACTCATTCTCTACTTCCTTCCTTAAGGCATGCACTGTAAACCAAAATAACTGTCTCAAAGCTCCTATTAGATAGATTTAACTTAAGAAAATATTTTTCAGTAACACTACTCCTACCCTTTAACACATTTTCAGGATAATTTACCAGAGCAGTAAGAGAAACACATCCCCAAAAATACAGGGGAAAAAGACACCAAAAAAAAAAAAAAAAGGAAAGGAAAAAAAAATTAAAACCCCTTTTTCTAAAAGCACTGGAATTCAGCATATGGCTTCTCATTAATTCTCTATCCAACAGGCTTTCAACTGTGCTAGAGCTGCCAGCCTTCTGAGTTAACTCCAGAACTATGCAACTTGGTAACAAAACACTTGTGAGAGCACAGTTTAACAAGCAGGGCCAAGACAGAGATAAATAGTGTGGTCTTACTAAAAGTGAGACTGTGAACTGGCCTTAAATTCAATAAAAACAGAAACAGTCTTCAGCTACAGAGGATCTGCCAAACAAACAAAAGGAAAAAAAAATCCTTTACTTGCTTTAGCAGGATACAAGTAGCCAAAGATAAAAAGACCTACCACATTATAAGAGACATTAAATTAATAGGGGATATTTGAAATTGATCTATTTTACAATATATGGATCTATTTTACTATATTGACAGCAGACTATTCTGAATTCCCAAACTATATTCACAATTCGAGCTCCTTTAGTTTTATCTTTTCCCTCGCTTCTCTCTTAGGCCACAGCCATTGGCAGAAATGGTCAGAAGGGATGCACATTTCAGCTCTTTCAGAACACAAAACAAATATCTTAAAAAAGCACAGAACAACTCAAAAATATACACAAGGTTTTCAACACACATCTTGCTTCACTTTACAGCCCTCACTGAGACAAGTAAGATTTGTCCTAGAGCAAAGGAAGCTGAAATTTTGTATGCTTAGGCCAGGCTGGAGGCAGGCTGATCACTGATGCATCCCTAGCCATGCCAGGATTATGCCAGCACAAGGGACCACTTATGCTGTAAATCCTACACTCCTTTGGGGCTGGTGCTGCATGTCCCTGCATGCCTGGTGAGCAGGGGAAGCACCACTGAGCGCTTCTGCTCCCTCTCCCTTGGGCACAAAGGGATGGGACTGCGCAGAGAGCTCTGATGTGATACTGATTCACTTGGAAAGCAGCAGCACAGGGTGAAATATTAAGGGAGTAACTGAAATTTACACTATCCTGAGAACACTGGAGCAAGAAACAGGGTGAACAATTAGATCCTGAGGTCACACACGTTGTTCCCAAGTTGCTTCCCAGTCAGCATAACACCACATTACACTTCATTGTTCTGCTGACTACGTTCAGCAGAGAGTTCTGGAAAGAGCACAAGTAGTAACTGAGCCTCATTTGGTGCAGAGTGAGGGGTGGGGGATGGAGGAAGGGATAAGGTATATATACTAAAAAATTTTTAAATACCCAACAAAATTACAAAGGCCCAGTCTCTTTCCTTCTAAGCAACCAAAAGATCAACTACTATCAGGAGGTGAGAAAAAAGTAAAATCATTCCTTAACAGGTACTGGTAAAGGGAAAAAGCCATCATTTAACACCTGCCAGCAAGGATTGTCTGGAAAATGACAATTTGGGTTTTTTGCCTTCCTAGTGTATTTTCCCTCTTGTCAATCAAAACAATCTAATTCCTCCTCCGTCCCAACTAGGTCTGTGACTACTTGGGACCCACCCTTAGTCCCCATCAACACATTTCGCACTTTACCTTCCTTTTGTTCATTACACTTACTCAAGCTAAGCAGGTACAATAGTATGTCAACAAGATTTACAGGTCCCCAAAACCCACAATCTTCCTTCTTCACATCCACTTTTTGATGCTATAACTTCTCTTTACATAAATCATTTCCCACATACAGATTTGCAAGATAGTAAACTTGCAAAGTCTCTTTCTTTGCTCAACATGTCTTTCTAATATCAGACACATTTTTCCCCTTCTCTTCTCCCTTCCTTTAGATATGTGTCTCCAAACATAAGGTCCAACTATTTTCAAAATCCTCAGTACACAGTTTAGCATAGGAGTTGCCCAAGTGAACGATGAAGTTTTTTCCACTTTCAAGTTTTGATAAATCTTTTCTAGTTAAACCTACCAAATTAAAGGGACACCTGTTTTATAGTTCTCAGCAGCAGTGAGCAAAGCACAGCACTCCCCTTATGCTTATACACTCACATTTGAGATTACTTCAAAGACTTCTTCCTTTGACCTCACGGAGTACTGAGTACAAGATACAGCATGCCTGAAACAGCTGATACACCCTTTCAACAACTAAATAGTTATTGCAGATAATTAAACAGGTGTAAGAGAAGGGCAGGTCTGGTATCGGCCTTTTCAAATCTCTAGATTAATCTCAACATAACCAGTGCAACTGATGTCAAATCTGCAACTGAGTCCCAGATTGTCTTTCTCCTTCCTTTAACAGCTTATAATATGCTGACAGAACAGCTACCAGAGCTCATCTTCTAAATCACTGATCAGCAACCGGGCATTTCAATCTAAGCTTTCATTGCTTATAATGATTGAAATAAATTTGTGAAGTATTTTTAAGGAGTTCAACATCTGTTAGAATTGTATATATTAAAAGGGATGAAAATATGAACACGTCTGTATCAGTCACTGAATCAGACATAGTGTGATTTAGAATTAACAATGGATTTTCATTCTCTGCTTCTTTTACTAAGTGCTTTGATGGATAAGAGGATAGTCTCACTAAAAGACACGCAGAACTTTTATATATCAAGAAGTCATCAAATCTGCAATAGAAGCTTGTTTTGAGAATTTTTCCCTAATTTCCAGAAACCAGCTTAAAAAAGAAATTATTGAAGAACAGGTTCTCTGTTGACAGAGTAATAGTAAGATTCCCAACTTCAAACAAACTACCAAAACTCTACTAGAATTACATACATAAATAAATGGTTACTTGGGCTGGTAATCCCTCTAAGTGTGTGTGGTTGCTGGGCTGGTGTGGGAAGGCTGCCAACAGATGACAATTTAAGAGTTGATGATTTCCATGGCCTTTTTATCCCCCTCATTACAAAACAGTTAGAGCACACAGACTGTTGAACAATATGCCTTATTTTATTTTTTTAAAGAAATGTGGTGTACAAAACACCCATCAAAGCTTAAAATTTGTTACAGAACTGCATGCATGGGGACTTCAGAGCTATACACCTACACTTCCACAATAGTTCTTCCACATCATATGCATGGAAGAAATGGGTCTGAAAATCGACCAAGGAAACCAAGATTTCTCTAGGAAATCTCTTTGTTACAAGTCTTCCACAAACAAAATAAAAATTTGAGTCAGACAAGCCTACAGGAACCTCTGCATTCTCTGTTCCTGCACATCCACAGTGCACCTTTACAAGCCAGCACTGAAGCAATATTCAAGATGACCAAAAAGGGTTTCTAGATTGCTTCCTTAGTGAAGATAAATCTTCATTAAAGACTGGCTGGTTATTCAAATCTTGCTGGGAGAAATTAGATTGCCTTTATCAACCTTAGCTACACAGTAAAGCTCTTTCATTTGAGTGCCTCTTGACATGCCTTTTACCACAGGCTATATACCAGGTTAATCAACTGAAAATAGTTTGCTGAACTAGCAGAAAAACAACTCAGTAAAACAGCTTCATCTCCAAAAAGAGACAGATTATTCTGGCACTGATTTTATCTGAATGTGTGTTTTGGTCCTCACTGATAGGAAGTGAGATCAGAAGCTTCTGCCACCTTAGCCAGTCTTGGCTGGCAAACATTCCCCTGCCTTAAAAAGCACACTGGGACAGTTTTCTACTTTGTTCTCACATCTTTCAGGACTTGTCCCTCTGAAGGAGGGCTGTCTGTGTTCTCGTTGTCAATGCTTGCATGAAGTCTTCGGAGTTATTATGACAACTCTTCTCTGAGCTACTCTCAGGACAAGAAAAGATGAGCTCTTATCTTCATTGGAGATTTCCTCGGAAAGAATTTAGACCTAGGATAAAGTCTTAAGTGGCTTCACTATTATATGCTCATACAACTGTGATCTTGTAGGTGGATTACAAGATGGAGCTCCATGCGTCAGTTCCTGTAAAGTTTACAAGCGTAAACCTCTAATGATTCAAGATCTCTTTTTAATCAAGGTTTTAACAACCTGTCCTCTTAAAAGAAGCAATTCTTCTGATTCTCTCTGAGAGGCAACAAAGAATGAAAGAGAGAGAAAGGAGATGCCAGCTTTCCCTTTCTTGCAATATGAGAAGCAGCAGGACAGGACAGTTGGTTAAACTGCGACAATAAACTCAGCATTCCTAATAGAGAGCAATTCTTACCATATATGGGCTGTGAGCTCACTGTTAAAGGGAAATAGGTACATTTGTATGGGATATCACAATCACCCATAATTCACCTACCAGGAAATATTTTTAAGAAGTTGATAAAATTCCTATTTATTCCTAAGTCAAGCTTGATCAGAAATCCATCACCATATAGCAGTTTCTGCTCACATCTGCCTTCTTTGGAGTCTTTGAAGTATCCAACAGAGATCACTTGCACAGGTTGTGCAATGTGTAAGATAAAACTAGTGTCTGACTTGATAGATCATCTAAACCAAATCTTAAAAAACAAAACAAAACAAAACAAAACAACCAACTCAAAACAACTTAAATGTTAAATCTTGAGGAAATTCTAAATCAAATACGTGCAAAAAAATACAAAATATTTTTCCCTAAATAGCAAAGATGTGACCCCTGCATAGCAATGTGGCAAACGGTGAATATTTTCAAAGTGTGAGCCATTCAGTTTCTCATAAATAAAACTGAATAAGCTTACATATGCATGTTTATAGCGATGACTCCCATAAATACATTGAAATACTAAGATGCATATGATGGGAACATATGTTATCTGAGACCAGGTTAAAGATGTCACTGAAGCAGTATTTGAGTTAAGCTTTTATTGCTATAAAAGGCAAAAAAAGGGAAGGAAGAGCCTTAAGGATTTATAAATTTTAATGAAAAGAAAAGAAAGCATAAGGAAGAAGAACAGCTCCATACTCAGACTTAGTGCTAAAATGTACATTATCAGCAGTATGGCCAATGCTCAGCTTAGAGCCTACTAAATTGGAGGAGTGAAGGAGAAATACTTACTGGTACTCTTCTGAAGTACAGTATGACACCACATTCCTCTCAGTAGCTATGTAAGTGTTGCTACTTGAATTCTGGGGAACGCTACCTTCTCTGGTCAAGTTTCCTCTTGCTCACCTTTGTCTCACTTGAGGCTACACTTCTTCAGAGCAGACTGGTCATGACTGCACTGTACTGTACCTATTTCTACATCCCCTTCAGTACCAAAGTGCTCTAATGGTCTCAGACTTATTCATCGCCTTTTTTTTTTTTTTTAATGTTTCCATCTCATTTCAATGAGTCTAAAATAATGCTAAAACCCTGTGGTAGCTTCCTACCAAAGTAAAGTTACTGCCACCTGAAACTAGATGTGCCACAGGTTCCGATAGAACGAGGTGAAAACATCTTTTGGGTTGGGGTTCAGCTAGGTACTTAACCCAAAGACAATCTAGGAGCAAGTTGTTATCTGGGTTTAGAGCCCAGGAAGGACAAGGCAGTTTACTTATATGACACCTACCAGTAACCAAGATGTTTCCAGTTCTGTATATATTTTAGTCTTAAAAAATGCTTACCTTTTCTGAATAGTTCTTGAAGGCTCTCTGCACTTTGATTCAAAATAGCCCATATTTCCTCTTCTTGCAGTGGTCCCCCCCGAACCTCCAGAGCCTCTGCCAGTGACACATGCATGTTACCTGGGAAATGAAACAGACTGATTTAAGACTACATAAGAGGTATCTTCTCCTTGTATGCACTATTCAAGTAGTAATAGCTCATTTTCAATTCTCAGTCACAAAAATTCTCTAACATTAATAGCACCCATCAAATATAAATAATACAAAACATTCACCATGATGACAAAGAACTTTGATCACATGCAATTATGAAGAAATAAAACTTGGGTTAAGACAAAAACCATCCATATTAATATTGTAGGCTCTAAATCAATAAACTAAACATGCTGGCATTAGTCCATATGCTATGGGCAAGAGTTTGCTCTGTTTGTAAAAATGACTGACTGATTAGTAGTTACTGATTCATTAATAAATCCGCTTTTAACACTATTTTCACAGGTTTAAGCTGTTGTTAGGAATATATTTTCACAGGGTGAGTTTGTTATTTCTCAAAAGCTCCAAAGATGCTGCTGAAAATCAAAAAGACAGTCCCATAAGCAATGCTAATTGCCTGGAGATCAGTAACTGGTATCAACAGCTTTACATGACCCAACGGTACTACTGGAGGCTCCTCCCTCTTCCTTTAAATCTCCAGCCAGAGCCTTCCTATCAGCATTCAATCCTGGCTCAGATGTACACTCATGGATATTCACCTAATAATTTGCTGACTAGCTATATTTAGTCTCCCAACTGTTTAGGCAGTTTCATGCCTTCCATGTGTATTTACTTACAGATAACCAGGTTTATACATGTGATGGCAAAACAGAAGGCTGAATATGCTGAAGAAACTTGCTGAAGTACTACACAGAGCCTTTTCAGCTACAATTCCTAACTACAGTATTGAAAAATTACATATTGCTGGCTGCTTTTCAGCACAGCTTATTTTCCCCTTATTTCACAACTTGCCAGTTTTAAGCATTCAATTATTCTGCCTATTTCCTAAGCCAGATCTATTTGCAACAATCAGTGTTCAAAAGTCATCACCAAAAGATAATGGAAGAAAAAGCAGATCCAGACTACATTTAAAAGAAAGATGAAACCTGAATTCCCAAAGAGAAAAATAAATAAGCTATTCAAAATGGAAAAGTCTGTATGGAAAACCCATACAAACTTCTAATAAATGGATGGAAAATCAGAGATAAATGTGTTTCTAGTCAGCATGAGATTCAGATACACCTGGCACAGAGTAAGTATCTAGTCTATCATCTGTCCCAGGGAATTCTGTGATTTCATGGCATGGTCTCAAATTTCAGCACATCTAGAATCAAACTATCTGGATTATTCAGATTAAAAGATCTCATCTTCTCCTAGGGACTAAAAATACATGAATTGCAAATTAAAACTAATTGCAGTTATGTCAGCAGCTATACAGTTGTAGAACATTTCATTTCCATCTGAAATATATAGTGTCATTTAAAACATGTATTTAAACTCCTATGTATAAGAACTTCGAGAAACAAAGCTGGGTCAAAAGACTAAGAACAGCAACTTCTTGAAATGCAGGAAAGAGAAGACAGAACAAACACGAGTTATCTCTGTTAGGCATAAACTTTTAGCTGATTTCAATTTAGCAAAAAAGAGGCAATCCAAGGAGAGAGGGTGAGCAGATTTCAGGAAAGCATACAGAATTCAAAACTGCAAGTAAAACAAAGACTCTTCTCTTATACAAACAGTAAAAGCGAGTCTGTTTCAAACATCCAAAGATGCTGCTGGCAGTCCCTGTGTTTTTCAGTGTTTCAGGTTGACTGGCAAAGAAATCTAGATGCACTGTCAGAGTTCTAATGGACTCTTAGACATGTTCCAACAGGCCATTTTTCTTGCAATGTTCCTCTCCCTGCTGGAATCCAGTGCCTTGCTTCTTTCACTCCTTGTAATGAGAATGGACAGATTAAAGAACACTGAAAGGTCACCAAGGATGATTTCACTTCCCTTTTCCTTGGGACAGTGTTACGATGGCATCTTAGTATGAAGCCAAACCAACACTTTGCTGGAAAGCAGATGGGGAGGCTTACAAAGTGAAGGCCATCCTGTTTCTGTACCTTGCTTCATAAGGTGAGAAGTCCAGATGCAGTCATGGTCAGGAGGTACATCAAAGGGTTAGATGGTGATATGAACTCCATGTGAACTGTTAGAGCATGGATTACCCATACACCCAAAAATCACGCTTGACCACAGCCACTGAACATCCAAACAGGGACATTCACATAGTAGAGCACAACACAGTGTCGGAAGACAGTGGACAAATGAAAACGGTTAACAATGGAGATGCACAGATGTGAACATGGAGAGTTGCTTTCTCTGGGACAGAATTTACTCCCAGACCACACAGGAACACTGTTTTTACAGGAAAGAAATCGTGTCATGTGGAGGCAGCTTTTACACTCCAGGACAAGAGAGTAAATTCAGGTGTAAATCATTTGCATCAACAAGTTCTGAGTGTGATTTCTCACCCTTCATACTATTGAGCCCTAAGCCATGGAGGCAGCACAGTTACAGGAAAAAAAATGCCACTTAAGCCAGAGGCCTCTCCCATATCTCAGATACTTCCTTTAAAAAGCCTGTCTGCCTCATGAGGAGCAGCTGACAGCTTCTCCCTATAAGACAGACAACTCACACTCCCCGATGAGTGGGATTGGTACTTCTGTCTCTTGCCTGTAAGTCAAGCTCAGTAACCCGTGTTAAGAGCACAACACCCATGGAATACGCTGACAGTGCCAACACGGCACGAGGCAGCCTCCCACTTGCTCTGTTGCACATTTCCAAGACATATACTTTTTCCCTAAAACTTGCAAAGTCTCCAAAAGACTTTTTAATTATTTATGTAGGCAAAACAGAAGTTAAATGCTTAAAATGCTCATTTCCTGCAATAACCACCATTTTTCCTTACACATTTTAAAATTGAAATTGAAGGCCTCTAACAGCAACCAAGAATAAGGAAAATTTTAATGGCCTATTCTTTCCAAATTTTATTGAACAGTTGCCAGACAGAGTATTAAGAAGCTATTGCTAAAACTATGATTAATAAAGATTTTAATAGGGGTCATTTTTGTCAAAAAGTTTCTAAAACCAGACTGAAAGTCAAAAGATTACACTGTTTCAACTTAACGGATGCTTGACAACTTTGTGCTTTGGTATCAGTAACACATATCCCTTGCCTTTTTCCTTACCTTGTGCATCAACATTTGTCCTCACATTGTAACTTCAGACTACAAACTTTCAGTCAAAAGCTATGTTTTAACAATATCAGCTAACCGAAATGCCTGCAATACTCCATATTTGATATCTCATCAGAATATGCTGCCAAGAAACATGGAGAGAGCAGTGGCTCTAGGCACACATTTAGGTGTTTTAGATATGCTAGAGGTACTGGAAAAAAAACATCTAGAATATAAAAACAGTTAGAATCTCTGGATAATCGCATAAAATGATCTGGTATTCATTTTTATCCTTCAACAAAATTTAAAACAGAGAAGAGATAGCAAGAAGGCTCTATATACATTCAAAATACTTTCTGTGGTGAAAAAAAACCACCTTATTTCTTCCATATAAAATATTGATACCTGACTTTATCTATTCCAAATACAGGCAATATTGCCCTTTTGCTCCACAGGTATACTTAGGCAAAAAGTGGCAGCTTCCAAGGAACAGTTTTCTCTTTGCAGGTAAGCCAAGAGCCCCTTCTTGGTCTCTCCTCTGTAGATATTGATGCCTGAAGAAGAAGTACATTTAACAAGACAAGTCTGCCCAAGAGAGCCTCTTAAAATTCACCTTTCTTAGGCCATGATTAGCTGCTTGAAAACAAAACACTGACACTTTCACTCAGCACTCATTGAGCGTGAAGTGTTTTCTAAAAGTACTCAACATGCACAAGTCTCAGTGACACTGAACTGGAGCTAGATCCGAACAGTTTTGAAAGTCTGGTCTCTCCCCTTTCAGCATCTAAGTATCTTAAGTCATTACCATGTCCTCTAATTTCAGAATCCTGACATCTATCCCATTTATTTACATTGACCCATATCTTACACCCCCAAACAAGACCTGGACTACATCTACCAATTACTTTATCCCCAATAATAATCTTGCTGAAACTGCACTTAAGTGTGGAACCCTGAAGACAAGTTAGAAAGCTTGCACTTCAGTAGTCTTTGAAACCTTGTTTTCAAATACACATATAAAATGTGGTTTCCTATACCTGCAGGTCTAATTTGCATAGACTGCCCAGAAAATAAGGCATTATTTGCAAATAGACAAGTCAAGCATGCAATCAAGGCACACATACAAGCTAATAAAGTCAACTGTGTTTAAAGAAATTTTTTTTTCTCAAGTTAATTACTGCACATTATTCTCAATTACTCTCTTGAAGGATAAGGAAACAAACCCTTGTGTCATAACTATTTTTTCATTTGTCCTGTAGATGCAAAGAGGGGGCAAAACCCCCTACAAGATCCAAATCCCATCTCCCACCTCTTTTTTTAAGTCTCTAAAGATGTGCCAGAAATCAGGAGAACCAAAGTTTTTGTGAAATAACACATTTTCATGGTGCTTTTTATTCAACCTGCTACTTGACGATAATATTATCTTAACACTATTCCTTTCTCCTTCATTTTGAAGAGGTCAGCAGAGATTAGTATTACAATCCAAGTACTTTTGCCCTCCCCCCACTGTGGAAGAGATTAGCTTCTTCCACCCACATTTTTCCTTCAATGTTCTCTTTTTCTCTCCTGCCGGCAGACAGGATGAAATGTCAGCAAAACAGTCTCATGCTCCTGGGCAAATCCTCTAACTATAATCAAGAAAATTTCTTTAAAACTGCATTTCCTCTGCAAACTGATAGCTTGCTGGTTGAGCTCAGACCTCCTAAGTAAGGAATAGAATCTAGCTCAAATTTGTGGTAAAACACAAAGAATGTGAGGACGCTCCCAGAAATATGAATTTGAGCATACACAGATGAACAGATGAGAAGTTAGCATTTCTCCTTCCAAAGCCTTAAATCAGTCTTATATTCCCATATTCGTAAGACA